TTCAACCGATAAACAAAAGGGACTGAATAGCCTGCGTTTTTTATTGAAATCAGTGATACTGTCAAATTCTGACTTGAACATTCTAGCCTAAGTATGAACGTCTTTGTCGAGACCTACTTTGAATTCGCACGCTGCCCCAGACTCTACCACCGATGCGCTGTAGAAGTTAAGAGTATGACAGAACTTCCAAAAAGATCGGCCATAAATCGAGAAAACTTAAAACCACACTAGCAGACGATGGAACGGCTTTCAGAAGTTCTTAGTGATCCCAAAAGCAGTTCCGTTCTTCTTCACTGTCGTTCAACTTTTAATTTATTTTTGGAAGTGGGCAAAAAAAAAGACTACACATATCTCCTGTCAAAAAATAGTTAAAATACAGTGAGTTCTGAAAATAATAAAAGGCACTACAATGGAGACGCCAGTTTCACTGGAAAAAAAAGCTATCACCTTATCCTTCATGAATTTTCCCCTTGTTGATTTCGCGCATAAAACATGAAAATATTTTTCGCAGTTCAGTTTGTAACATCGAAGTGAGGCACCAATTCGTTGGCAAACTGAGCAAACGACAGAGGAAGACCGCCTTACTGCGTCATCCACATTGATTAAAGCACCGGCCGAAGTTTCGTACACCTGCAGCAATTGCTCTGTTCAAAAAACAACGGAACTTCATTATAAATGATCACAAACAGTAAATAGTATGATATTTGTAAGAATTACTTTAATAGTCTTATCCAGTGAACGATCAAAACTGATCTGACTAAGGGTATGTTTGCATCACTGTTTGAGACGAAAGCACTAAGGAATAGCCGGGATGGTCGCATGTGCTAATATCGAGCACTTGCTGCAACACCTTTCTTCGAGGATATTTTAAAAAATCAGGCACACACCATTAAAATGAAGAAATTTTGAAAAAAACTGGTCAAAGGCAAAGCCAATTCCTTGATCATCAATGGAGGAAGTAGCGGTGTGTTACCGCGGTATGCCCGCCAAAACAGGCAATCGTAAAAAGCAATAACTAGCGGCACACTAAGGTTACCGGTGCGATCACGCATTTTTGTAGGGTCTCGTGCAGCAATTTAATCTATTTCAGCACAAGCATTCACTGCTTTACAGTTTGATATGTGCATTAATGCTGAAAATATTCTTGCTCGTTTTTTTTCACATTTGAGAAAGAGAGAGATCGGCTGAATAGGCGGTTTTGAATCGCGGGGCACCGATAATTTTCAGTTTTACCGCTGCAACAATTTTGTAAAACAGAACTTTGACGTGTCAGAACTTTGTCGTGCCTGAATGCGAAAGAGACATGTACAGTGAAGCTCATTTTATGCCTGCCGGCCATAGTTGAAAAGCAGACAACTTTCTTCCTAG